ATTTGCGTTAAGGTAAGTAATCAGGGCTTGAGTTATATCAGGCTGAATGTTGACAATCATACTGAAAAATACTGGGTAAAATCAGCGTGCTTGAAATTAAACTTACCTCGGAGGTGTCTCACATTAGTGAAAGAAACTATCATTTCCCATAATATTACAAGGGGACAAGCAGCCCTAACAGAGCCACCAAAACACTCACCCTGTACTGACTGTACATCCAGCTAAGATTCATCTGCTCCATATGTTCAGCCAGCAATCCGGATGGCAGAAGGAAAGTTTGCAGACTAGTTGATGACAGTGCCAGTTTGGTTAAGTTCAACAACTGTTTGCCATCTCTAGGAAGTCGATACCACGAAATACCAGAATGCACAGAGCCAATGACAGGGCAGCGTATAACAACGCGTTGGCCCTCCTTGGCAGATATTCGTATGTGCTGAGGAGGCTGTAGGTACTTCTGTAGCCGGATGGCCGAGGTACTTGTCCGTATCAGGCCAGTCTCCGTAGTAATGAAATCGTTCTGGAGACTGATAGTAAGGAAGACAAGAAAAATAACTGCATAATAGAAGGGCTGAGTAAATTAAGTACAGATCCCAACGCATACAACCTGAAGGCCTATGAGATCAAGGCATGTTAAAGGGTAGCAGGCCTCAAATACATCGACGGCTAGGCCATCTCGGCTAGCGATAATATAGGCAATCATTTAGCATTGCAGATGAGCTCATAACCAATGAACTGTATGAATAATTCTGCTACAATTGACTAGGAAAAATGGGTGGAAAATATTCATTAGGTCAGAAAATTAATTTTGTGGCATACCTAGTCAAATTCATTGTTAAGGGGTAATGATGATTGACTAATTTTTGAGGCACCATATTCAAAATTGACCGACTCCAAATGATGATCTTCCTAATGTACATCATAAATCACTAGGCCATAAAAATTGCATCTCCATAGAAACTTCAGTACTGATGGCATGGAAATGTCCCTATCTCTCCGTGAGGTATCGTTTTTCTACGATATCCTATCTTGGACTCAGAGGATATTAGCTTCTTGTTGAAATGTTTAAAAGAGAGTCACTACAATAGCTAATGTTTTCTGAGATAAACTGTGGCTTAAAAGCATGCCTGATAAATCATTACTTGATTAAAACACAAACCAAAGTGCCATAGTCTCACCTTTTTATGGCTTGATCTCAATCATTACTCGCGTAACACTAGATTGATGAAATACAGAGATCATTCGTATACTTAAAACCAGCTTTAGGGTCTTAATATATCTGGCTCTGGTTTTATTTCAGCAGAAAACGCTTATAAGGATTCAGTTTTTAATATAAATTCTCCCTTTTTTACAGCCTTGAGGGGCAATATACTTGCAAGAATACAAGATTTATCATAAGATATAGGGGGCACTTGTGGCTAAGGGAATAATAATGAAGTGAAAATAAGACTTTAACTCTTTATGAGATGTTTCAAAAACTTGCTTATAAATGAAAAAAATGCACTTTTATAACACAATAAAAAATTAACCCTCCATCCAGGGAGGACCTCAGCAGCTATTTCGGCTTGGTTTCATCAGAACCGAACAATGTCCAAATTTAAGATGAGGGCCCAGGGATAAATACAATATCACATAAGCCATACAGCCCTGATGCTATTCATGTTTGTATGACTAATATAACTATACAAGGATATTCCATCTTACACGCATTGTTGCTTGTACACAGAGGCAAGTGTATGTCTGCGATAAAACTTAATAATTTACTGAAGTGATGCTAGTAATCAATTGTTATAGTCTATAAGGGATCGAATTGTTGATAAACAACGAATTTCCAAGTAACCAACTAAAGCTATCCCTTCAGTTCACGTCCTCATTACCATGCCCTTCACACAAGCTTCTCTTTATCTCCTATTCCACTTTCTTTCTCTTTCGTTTTATTGAAAGACATCGTTCATTACCAACAAAACGCTAAGACACTGTTTCTATGGTGTTAGTATATTTTTCGTATGGTATACGTATACTGCCTAAGTCTATTCATGAGAGCCATAATGTTGGCCACAAAGATTAAGGTCAAGAACTAATAATATAATGACTCTCTCCAGCAAATTTACCTGAAATCCTGATATTAAATTACATTTAGACTAGATAAATAAAACTTAATATAATGGTATTTGCTACCTTGAGCTTTCACTGGAAAAGCAGAGCTTGAATAAGAAGTTGTTCAACCTTAATCGCTTAAGGCGATTTAAGGATTGATAGTTTAATTTTCTCACAATGATGTGAGGGTCTCAGGATGAAAATGAATTTCCCTTAGCTTTGCCTCCCAAAGGCTCATATAATCTAATTTGGGATGCAGCTTCGATCTCGACTAAATCTCATTAACACCCCCAGTGGGACTCAATAACTTGTCGTAACTATCGTGGCTTCGTTACTACACCATTACATGGCCACGGGTGATAATGAGTCACAGGGCAAGCCAGACATCTCCAAGCTCACATGTATAGTGGGATATAGTCGACTAAGCCATGTTTATGATTGTGACAGATGCTACTTAATTTCGATGTAAGTAGCCTTCAAAAATATAAAAAAATTTTGAATATAAACTTAGTTATTCAAGGTCGCTTAAAAATTAATGGTTTAGTTTTTTTCCACACTGAGATG